CCCCCCGCGGGCTATCCACGCATGCGTGGGAGCTGGATGCGATCCCCGCTCCTGAACAGTATGTACTATGTTCATTTTTTTTAATGGAGCTGAGTAGAGCTCGGTGGCGCAGTGCAGGAACCGCAGGTTCAGTTCTCAGCACCAGAGTCAAGTAAGTACGTAGGGCAAGTCAGACCAAATAATAATGTGGAGGAGAACAATAAGTTAGGGGACAAATAGGAAGGACAACTTTCGCTTGGACTTTGTGATAAAATTACTGTGTAAGGTTTTTAACCAACGCTTTTTTACTTGTGCATTCTGGCATTGTTTTTGATATATATGTACATCGTATATAATTTTTTAAATTTACTTTTGCGAGCCCAGGGCCTTTTTTCACTCATGGCCGGTACTCTACCACTAGAGCCAGGCCTCCACATCCAGCTTTTTGCTTGTTACTTGGATATGAATCTCTCAGCTCTATCTGCCTGGATGTCTTGGAATTATGATTCTCAGATCTCAGCCTACTGAGTAAACTAGGGTTATAGGCTTGAGCCACTGGCCTGCCAGCTTAACTTTCTGCCACTCAACTAACATTTAGTCAAGAAAAACAGCTGAATCTCAGTAACAGCAGCAAACGTTATAGTATTTTAGCTCACCCTGGTGATTTACCTTGAGAAAAGTTCACCTTCCTAGTACCTATACTAGAAGGATCAGACAGGGCTGCATTGTTTTCCAAGACTCATTCACAAGGAAGTCAATGTGACTTATCTAGTGGTTCCCTGGAAGACAGTCTGAAAAGGTTAGGTTTATGTAGCCTCATTGTAATTTGCCAAATCCTAAAGGTGGAGGATTTTTTTTTTTTGAGAGGGGGACACTGACTTGACTTGGGGTCTTCACCTTGCTAGGCAGGCACTCTAGCACTGGAGTTAGCCCCAGTTGTGCTTGCTTTTCAGTTATTTTTCAGATATGGTGGTGTGTTTTTGCCTAGGGCCACATTGGACTGTGCTGCTCGTATTTATCCTTCCCTCACTGCTGGGACTACAGTGAAGTCCCACCATGCCAGGCTTGTTGGTTGAGCTTCAAGATCTCCATTATATCATAAACTGGTGACAAAATATCAAATGCAATAAAAAGTTTCTTTATAAAAGAAAACCTCAAAATTTCTTATCAGAAAGCATGAACATTAGAAGGTCCATCCCACTGCTGAGGGAGAAAAAAAGAAAACCAAGAATTCTATATCCAGCAAAACTATCCTTCAAACCATTTATTATAAACTCATTCCCAGTTACAAGCTGAGAGGGTGAGGGTTAATTACAGTAATACAAGAAACACTAAAAGAGCCTTTTGAAGGTAATGAGACACTAAAGAGTAACTCAAATTTTCATGAAGAATGTGTTTGTAACTTTTAAATATCACTACCCTAAAATACTGTGAAAATTATGAAATTTATGTAATCACTTAATCTCAATAGAAAAATTATTTTTAAAAATACTCTTGAGGAAAGAAAGCACCAGTAAAGGTTGACTATTATTAGAAGGAAAAAAAATATTGATGTAACTCCACCCACATCTGATTTCAAAGCTAGCTGCATAATGCAATAATGAAAAATAGTTTGAAGTATGTTCTCTGACCATAATGAATGAAATTAGAAATCAGCAACAGAAGGAAATATAGGATATTCACCAACTTGGAAGTTATATTAAAAAAAGTCAAATGAGAAATCATAAATGGGGGTTAGGAAGGTGGCTCAGTGGTAGAGCGCTTGCCTTGCAAGCCTGAGGCCCTGGGTTCAATTCCTCAGCACCACATAAGCAAAAAAGAAAAAAGCCAGAAGTAGCGCTGTGGCTCAAGTGGTAGAGCGCTAGCCTTGAGCTGAAGAGCTGAGGGATAGTGCCCAGGCCCAGAGTTCAGGCCCCATGAACGGACCAAAAA